CTCTTTCCTGCCCAGGGCAGGGAGTCAGACTTGATGATCTACTGAGGTCCCTTCCAACCCTATCATCTATGAATCTATGAATATTTTCCAAACTGGAAGGTGGCACACATGCCCCCCACCTCCTCCAGTTGCACAGCTGGAGCAGAGCCAAGCATAGGTCTTGGCGGGTTGTGGCAGCTGCAGCTGGCTGTTGTCAGCTGTCTCTAGTGGGTTATGGAATAGAGAAAATCCCACACAAGGTACTGATTCGTTTTGATGCACTGGCTGGGGGAGTAGTTAGCTGATTGAACGATTTCACAATGATTACACACTTAATTTATACAACACAATTTTATTTTAAAACTCTTTGCTACGTATATAACACTGCTTAGCTTTAAGAAATACCACAAACATTAAGAACACAATAACTACATATATTAGAAACAATGCTCCGAATGCACTTCCTTCCCAAACAATGCTATAAGAATTAGTGTTACAAAAACAACTACAATTACAACTAAAAGTTAAATTTGAATCAATACTATTATTTTCATATTATACTTACAATCCTAGAATTCCGAGAAGCCAAATACCAAAATATGGTTTCATTCCTCAGTAGTACGATTTAATGGGTTGGCCTCAGTAGTACGGTTCAATGGGGGCTTCAGCGTGAACTAAGAGATTCGTGTTCACGGAGAGGTTGGGTCAGGTGATCAACCTGGTCCGGGCTACACTTGCGATTCTTCCTTCGTTGTTCTGCAAGTGAAGTCACCTCCAAAATTGGGACAGTAGGTTACAGTTTTTATTGAGTGAGCTGCCGTCAGTGGGCTCCTCCTACTCAATTTGTCACTACTCCCAAATTTGGGCTCGGATCTTACTCAACAGATTCTTTTGAAATTACCTTTGTTGAGCATTTTAAATTACTCTTGGGGAGACTTCTTCCATATCACTGTAAATACCATTTTTTTTTTTTTACCAGTTTGGTTAAAAGGCCCTAGGCTTTGATGTCTCCGAACTCAGGATATTTGCTTTCTTTGTAAAAGACTTCTAAAGATACAATTTAAATTAAGGCTTTGAGTGAAGTCAGGACATTTTTCACGTAGCCCCAAAAACAATGAGCTAGATAAGGAGATAAATCCTATCTTCTTCCTGAAACTGGCTAATGGGCAACCTTTACAAACATTCAAACTATTTCATTCAATATGACATCAGCTTGGGGCCCCTGACCCACTGTTCTGCACCAAAGAACCTAATGTTGGCTGTGCTGTCATGGTGAGGCGCCCTCTGACGGCCTGGCAGCGGCGGGGGGTGGGGGTGACAACTCTGCACCTCTTTCTCTGCTGCCACCACCACTGCTGCCAGGCAGGCAGGGGACATCTTGGAGGAGGGTAGCAGTTCTGTGAGCCTGATTCTGCATCCACCCCACCCCACCCCACACAAAACCGTGGGGTATGTGGCTCCCCCATAACTCCCTTCCAGGGAGTAAACACAGCTAGCCTGCAAAGGGAAACCTGCTGTTTCCTGCAGTTTTCCACAGTAAACAGAAAACCAGGATCCCTGCAGGATGTTGTGAATCTCAGACAAATGCTGTCCCACAGCCATGCAGCCCAGGACTGGGACCTGATCTTTACATTTCTGGGTTGTCCTGCCCGATTAGGGATGGGTGGTTACCTGAGAAGAGCAGGGCGGAGCAACCAGGATGTCAGGGCCCCTCAGAGGTCATGTCCTGATCTGCCCCATTTGAACCATCCAGGCATGTCATTTTCTACCCTGTCCCTACTATGATGCAGCAGCCCAGCTGCACAGTGCCCGGGCCCACAGCTCAGAGACACTAAGATCCTCAAACCTGCCCAGGGGCATCCAGAGATGAGGCCCAGCAGGGCCCTGTTGCGATGCACTGGAGAGAGCCAAGAAAAGGCTGAGGAACACCAGAAACCCTTCAGGATGCACAGGGATGCTGAGGGCAAGTCATAGCAACTCGGACCCCAAGCCTGGGCCCCAAAGGGCAGTATCTGTTCTGTCCCCCTGTGCTGAGGGAAACTGGTGCAACATCTTCCCCACAGGGCTTGGAGAAGGGGCTGGGCTGGCTCCTGCCTGGGCAAATTTAGGAAAGAGGGGCCTGGCACTGTGTGGAGGCTTGGACTGGGAGGTCCTCATAGCCCTGTGCTGCTCTGGGAATGCCAGTACAGGCAGCTGCATGACACATGTGCTTTGGCCCTTGGCTCAGCTGAGGGCAGCTGGAGCATGGAGATGCTGGCTAGGAGCTGTGCCTGCTGTTTTCAGCCTGATGCCTAAACCCTGCCAGGCTCTGGCATGGGCATGGAGTGCAGCCCTCTCCTGGGACCACTGCACCCAGACCAGTGGGGCAAAGCCCAGCAGCCACCATGCAAGGGGAGCAGCAAACCTGAGTCTGGTCCTACCTGGACTCCTGTCTCCTTTCTGCATGCTGGGACTGGACAGTGCTGGATCTTGCACACACAGGAAGGATGGAAGAGCCAGGAGGAAGGCTAGAGTCCGTACCCACAGGGCCATTTTACTGCAAAGTCCCAAGGCAGACCTTAGTCTCACACTGCCTCCGAGCCCTTCTCAGTGCTTCTGGAGGAGCTCACCAGGAGCAAGAAGTGAACAGAGGAAGGAAACAGATACATCATTATTGCATATGGTGCAAGAAGCTTCCTCATAGGAGACAGGATCCTCTGGCAATGTCAGAGCTGCTCTTATTCTCCTCTTGGGTGCTGGGTCATTAGGGAGCTGAGGGAGTCTAGTTGCATGATAGGACCCTGAGTTGGCCACAGCCCCAAGGATACAAACTTTCTGTGGGGTGAGATACCAATTCCAAGGAGAGAGGAAGTGAAGCATGATAACACATAACTTTAATAGTTATGAAAAAGCCATGGAGAGACAAGTGGGGAAGAACTGGGCTCCAGCAGGCTGAGGCTAGCACTCCCACAGGCATGTGCACGCTCCAGCTCCAATGCTTATATCTCCTCCACCCCCAGCTCCAGCATCAAGAAAGAGCCAGAGCTCTCCAGAAAGTGATCTTTGCAGAGCCATTCAGAGGGCAGAGTGCAATTCATTGACCACCCCCAGCTACTCTGTTATCCACCAGAACAAAACCCACCCAAAAACCTCACACGCACCAGGGACCATCCAAACAAATAAGGCACTCACATGATCCCGATGCTTGGTCTGGGTCCAGGGGTGTTAACCATATGCATTAAGGATCTGGCAACAGGGTGGGAGAGCCTCTTGGCACCCAGAGGCAGGAGGGCTGCAGGTGCTCTGGATAGCAGGACCCGCATACAGAGGGTTCAGGGAAGAGTGTAGACCTGGGCTGGAGACATCACCGTGATGCTGAACAGAGGCAGAGGCCAGGGCTGCTTTCAGAAAAGGAACCCAGATGCATGACGGCAGGGTGGCAGTGGCACCACCAAGAAGGACCTACGGCCGTGGCGTCCAACTCAGCAGACCATGGCTACAGACAAGGCTGCACTAAGAGCTACCATGGTGCTGGGCTGTTGGTGCAGAAGCCTTGGGCACAGGGTGCAGAGACCACATTTCCTGGTGTTATAAAAGAGTGCTCACTGGGGCAGCCAGTGCTTCAGCCTGCAAGAGGAAAGGCTGCTCCTGACCCAGCCCTAAGTCCTGCACAGTATTTGGGGCAACGAGCATGTCTCTGAGCCTCTTGGCTGTAGTGGCCACAGTGTGGTTGGGTTTGACACCCATGGGGGAGACGACAGGAAAACCAGCCCAGCCAACTTTACCTTTACCAGCACAGGGAGGAGCTGGTCAGACAGACAAGAAAAGGAGCCCTAAGGAGGAGATGTCCATGTCCCACCTTTAATGAGGTGAGAAAACTAGTGGGGGAAGCACTGAGGTCCCAGAGCAGGAGGGGGTTGAGTGTCCAGGAGGAGTGGTCATTCCTTAGGGAGGCGATCCTCCAAACTCAAAGGGAAGTAATCCCTACATGAGTCAAAGGGGCCAAGAGGGCACAAAGGCCCCCATGGCTCACCAAAAGCATCCAGGAACATCTCCAAACAAAAAAGGAGGCGTACACCAGTTGGAAGGGAGGGGCCATCAAAAAAGAGGGCTATAACTTGGTAGCTCAGGAATTTAGCGGGGCGGTCAGGAAGGCCAAGGCAGAAAAGGAGCCGGGACTACCGACCCAGATCAAGGACAACAAGAAGTCCTTTTTCAAATACATAGCGGGCAAAAGAAGGTGCCAGGTAATGTGGGGCCTGTGGCAGAAATGCCTGTGGCAGAAATGCCCTGTCGGTGCCCCTCTCCAGAGATCTGTCTCAGCCGGCCTGAGAGGCTGCTGTTGAATCCCTCAGGGCGGGGATCTCGCTCCTTGTCTGCAGACAAAAGCCTGGCGCCTGGGAGGCGATGCTCTGGTCACCTGGGCAGGGGGGGGAAGACCCGGCCCTGCGCGCGGGCCCAGGTAGCCAGGGATGCCATGCAGATT